ACACCAACAACGATCTCGATCTGCGACTAGAAGGGTTGGTTTGAGGTTTGTCCGTACAATTGTACGAAAATGGAAGAAAATTCGAGAGAGTACACAAGTTGAGGGTGTGTGTGTGTATGGTCCTCGTTGGGTCACCAACCAAAACAAAACCTTAAGACCTTTAGTTCTAATTGGGTCCAAACAAGTTGGACTAAACTTATTTGGTCCATAACCAAAGTGCATGTCACACAACACCATTTAACATTCAAGGGTAAAATCATCATTCCATGCTAGCAAAGATAAAATAATATACCCATTGAGGACGAGCTGTCACAGGATCCTTTTCCCTGTACAATTTTTTTTAAACTCAAAAATTATTTTTGAGTCATAGAAAGGGTACTTTGCTATAGGGTTGTTGTACGATTTAGTCCAGTTTTCTTATCTTTTAACTTTAATTAAATTTCTTGATTTATACATCTATACTCAAAATTTTGATTTAAATGTTTAAATATGAAAATAACCACTTTCATGGAAAATAACTAAAAGAAATTATATATATCATCATATAAGATATTTATACCATATGTTGATAAAATACATTTAACCTGTGATATCTATAAAAATAAATAAAAAATTAAATGTTTGTCATCCATGAAAATGGTTTAAAGAAATTTTATCTTCCATACATTTATAAACTCATTCTAGTATATATGCTAATATATATAATACCTACAACATAAATTAGTTAACACATTTAAGGTAGAAGAACAAATTGAAAAACGAATTAGCAATAGTAAAAAGAAGAAAAATATTTAATCCTAAAATTGAGTAAAAGATAAACTTATAAATAAGGAATAACATTTATCACAATTTCATAAAATGGTAAACCAAAGTTAGTGTGGATAATCACTTAATGGACCTAACTCAACAAAGTGGACTAAATCTAATAATAAGTCACAAAATTAGATTTACATCAAGTTTTTATGAAAAAAGTAATTTTTTACTCCAATTCTTAAGTAGAATACTAAAGGGCCCAAAGGTTCTAAACATTTCCCGGATTGAGGGTTTGTCCAAAGGCCACTTAGTACTATGATCTAGTAGTGTTCTTCTTCACTTGTAAGTAAGATATCTTAGGTTCGATTCTTGCCAAATGCGAATTTGAACCACATTATTGCTAGCCCAAGTTTCATGGTTGAGTGGTATTCACCGGGTGGTTTACTTCTTTTTTTTCAGGGACAAACCTTGACCAAGGGATTGCATACTCACTTATGGTGCTGGCTCTTGTGCTCACATGCCTCATCCACAGTGCTGACATTCCCGACTTCTGAGCTCAGAAATGAATGAAAGAATCGACGGAATAAGGGATAGGAGTGTTTGTTTAGTCAAACTTGAGTCGGTGGATGTTTTTGTATCCCTTTGCTCATTGTACAAGTCTGACTTTGACACTTTGTTGCTGTTTGGCAATTGCGTTCCTGCGTTCTGTTTACCAACGACATGAAGCACACAAGTAGAATAGGAAAAATAGCACATTGTATGAAAAGAAAATCAGAAAAACATTTTACGACCTTAATAATTGTCGGTTTGTCACCCATGATAATGGAAGGTGGGAAGGAAAGAAAAAGGAGTCATCCGTATGAGAAAGACCTCTGCCTAACTTATCAACACAAAAAGCAATCAGGCTTTCCTGTCAATAGACTTTGCATCCTTCTGTTCCTGGCCAGCTAATGAAAACTTCTTCACTTTCTGTTACGAAAAAATAATTGAAAGAATCGAAGAAGTGTTTGCATAAAAGCAGGTTTTGCATTCAGAAACTAGAATGATACATCTAGGTAAAGCCACTGACCGATTAATGCTAATAGCAACTGAATAATAATGATTGTTCATCGTTAGAAAGCATAGAACAAAATCACAATATTCAATGGTTGATATCGACCAAAAGGGGACAACTAGTGGCTCCACCCTTCTGAGACCTAAAATGATTTATAAATACATTTTAGCCTCTTCTAACTACAAGTCTGGCTTCCAGCCCACCAGCGGGTTTTGAACCCAAAATCTTCAATTTTTAGTTTTAAAAAAGTCTCGTAATCCACATTTTACTATTGGGTTACTAGCTCATGGTTGTTAATATTGACTTTAGAGCTGTTGCTTATATGATATAAGCTCGACATCTCAACATTTTGGTACAATCTGAAAACCCAAAAGTAATCGGGAAGCTAACTTGCCCATTTTACACACTGAATTCCAAGTTTACGTATCTAAATATCAAAAGCATGCCTACTTGTCTTTTTATCCCCTCATCTTCCTTGCCATAAAATGAATCGACTTGGGGCAACACTGGTGTCAAGTTCAAGAAACGAACTCTAGTTTGGATAAAAAGGGCTTCCCTAAGATTAGATCCCACCAACAGTAATAAACTTCTCAGATGAGTCAGAATCCGGGTTAGGAATCAACTAATTAGGACAAGCTCGCAGGTTATTCAATTACACAGTAAAACAACCAGGACCATGAAGCAATTTGTTTGGTATTTTTTTATTACCAAAAGCAAACACAGCTTTTAAGAGTAGCATGTAGGTTGCTTTTAAAAACTGCTACTATAAAAGCAAAGTAAAGCTTTTAATGAATATTTCTAATTTTTGTAATACACTATCTATTGGAGAACAACGGCTACTATTAAGTTTTTTGAAAATGACATTATTTATTTTTTCGAAACACACTATCCGTTGAAGAACAAAGCCACTACCATCACTTACTAGTACAAACACTAACCTTACACCACCGTCATAATTACCACCACCATAATTCATCGCCATTGCCACCACCACCACAACCACAACAACCACTACACCTACCAGCACAACCACAACAACAGGTCCACCACTAGGGGCAAATGCATTAAGGGGCAAGGAGGGTTAGATGACCCTCCGAACTCTTGTGAATCTCCATAGATAACTTAGGTGCTGCCCCTTTGAAGGTTGGAATTGCCCTTCACACATTCAACAAAATTGGCAATTTATTGGCCAAAACAGAATCCGAAGTCTGAAATTCAGAAAAGATTTCCCTTGTATTTCACTGAGATCGTCATCAGTTACTCAGTTGCAGTCTTACAAAGTATGAGGCCTTGTGCGATTCGAAGAGGACAACCTGAAACCTATTTTTCTTTTTTGTGAACGACGTCATCTTGTATTATTTTGATACATGGCATAATCTGTTTAGTCTAGAATCCTATCAGCACAATGAGTGCAATTACTCTCTTTTTTATGTAGAAATAATAATAATGAATAATAGTATTCATCCTTTTTGTAATTATATTTCAACAAATAATATACACTACGTTTTTTAAGTTGCTTGACTTTATGGTTTGTAGCTTCATTTCAGTTTGTGTTGATAAATTGAGGAAAGTTTTAATCTTGATTATTGAATGAGTTGAGTTTTGTGTGAGGAGTTGGTTTGTATGAGTTTATAATTATGTGTATTTGCTAATTACATTGGTTTTGGTTATACTTGTTGCTATTGCTTCAGCACTTCAATGGAAAAAGCATTTTTCACTATGAATATTTAGAAAAGTCTCCAAATGGAAGATCAGTGTTTGAGTGATAGCATAGTGGTTTATATCGAGAGCAATATTTTTTCTTCCATTGATAATGAAGGATAATTGTAACTTGTATTGTTATTTGTTGTATAAATTACGAATGATGGAAACATGGTTTAATTTTTAAGGTTACATGTCTAAGAAATATTTGTGAATTTTACAAGTGACCCTCCGAATATTTTTTCCTAGATCCACCACTGTCCACCACCACTACCGCCACCCCTACCCCCATTTGTATCTTTGCACCCCAACCACCACACCCTACTATTGGCACTACCACCATTGCCGCTACCATCACCACCACCCCAGCTGCCACCACCCTCACAACCATGTCCAATTTGGTCATTGGATATAATTAAATCAATCCTTCGTGAAAATTTACCAAACGCTTTTACACTTTTTTTTCATACTCACAACACTTCAACAAATATTGTTTATCAAACGCCTATCTACTTTATTTTATAACTAATTATTCTTAAAGCACATCAATTCCAAACTGGTCTATGTTATGTTTATATTGTAGTGACAGAACTTGTGACCTGTAAACATGTGGATCATTCATGTAGACAAATCATATTTGAAGATTAAGTATTGACCAAATTCATCCGAGTAAACATGTCGGACAATAACTCTTCGATGCCTGATCAAGTTATGGGTGGGTGCAAATTTTGGTAGAGTTTTGACTAATGAGTTTTGCCAAACTTGAAGTGTAGAGTTTGTTAATGGTACAATGTGGTGCAAATTAGTGCCTCTTTTTTTATGACTAGTAATGATATTGAGAACAATATAATTTTCTCATGTAGAGGAATTTTCTTGTTGATTCAATATGCTTTCTATATTACTGTTTTATAAACACAGACTACCTCCTCCGCCCACCGGGGGCCTTTATTGTCATGAACTCTATGTACATGTAACCTACATTATCATACACAGTGAAAACTAGAAACGGTACTAGTGTTTGGTGAGCCATGATACATGTTAACTCTTGTGCATTTGCGTGATTTCAGTATAATCTAAAGCTAGTCCAAGTACAATGTCCATGATCATCCTGTTCAAAATTACAGTTGATTGACAAGTTTAACGATAAATTAACCATATCGCCATAGTAATATAAAGTCAATAATTAACTAACCTGAAAACGATTTCGTATCAAAAAGAAGCATAATCAAATCAGAGAATCGTTTATTAATTAACAAATTTCTTAATTAGGTTTCCACAAGACATCTGATTATTTAAATATTTATTTGTCATTTCTCCTAAAATAGCCACATCGCTGCATGTAGATTGTTAGTTTTGCGTGCTAAAAACCCTCTTCTCCTTTGAAAATAGGCAAAATCCCCATCTCATATTTCTAACAACATAACCGTTGACTTCGTCCAAAACCCTTAAAATACCATGCACTTCCCATGCAATCACAGCCTCACACGATCAAGCAACTCCAAACAATTTTAATAGCAGGCATCCATCTCATTGTTCTTTTAGCCGTCTTGTGTTGAAGGAAACAAGAACTAGGTTAATATTGTTATTATTATTTTTTATTATTTTATTATAATTAAGCTTCCTTCAACACCGGCTCACTAGGGAAACAAATAAATTTATGTAAGAAAAAATATATATCGAAAGATATATAGAAAGCCGGGAGGCAAGATGGAAAAGATACAGTTTGCGGTGTTTATGGCGGCAGCGATCGGCTGCTTCTTGACGGGACCAGTGACTGCTTTCACTCACATTGTTGGAGGAAAAGAGGGCTGGTCTGTACCTGAGAACAAAACCTTCTACGAGGACTGGGCTTTTCCAAGAACCTTTGGTGTTGGTGACAGACTTGGTAAGAATTTCTTGTTGATTTTTGAAATTTAAGAAAGGAGAGAAAATAGCATCCATTTTCATCTTATATATTGTACAAAAGGCTTTGAATTCCCGACTTAGGGTTCTAATCAATAATTGAACGAGTGATCTATATGGTTGGCTCGAAAGGGTTTCAGTTTTGAACTCAAGCAATGAGGTTCAAAACGAAACCCTAGATTAAAATACAAACAAGGAGTTTTTGTTTGATCCTTGAAAATAATTTAAATAGTTTGTTTGTAAGCACATTTGTATCATGCATATAATACTGGAATTTACTATTCTAAATTATTTTTGTTTTCAAATTAAACAATGAGGACGAAAATCGAAAAATCCTTTGAGTTACGTACATCAAAGCAAGTTTGGCTTGGCCTACAAATTTTCAAGATTTAGGTTTATATACTCTTAAATGCCATTTGGTATATCTATATATCTAACGATTCTTGCTTGAATGTGTCGTCCGAATTGCAGTTTTCCCCTACAGGCCAGGCTCTGGCAACGTAGTAGTCATCAACAAGGACGACTTCGACAAATGCACACAGAAGAATATCATTTACATGTACTACTACGGACCAACCATCCTCAACCTCACAGCACCAGGTGACCACTACTACTACGGTGGCGTCGGCAAGCACTGCGAGTTTGGCCAAAAGCTCCACATCAATGTCGTCAACAAGCCCGGATCGTCTGGCAAGATTTCCCCATTCAAGCTTGTTTCCAAGGTCAAAGAGATCACCGCTGGTGCGCCTGCCCCCGTCACAGATGCACCTGCTCATGCTCATTCCTCAGCCACCACCATTCAAAATGTTGGCATGGCTTCTGGTTTATTGACCGTCTTCTTTTCTCTCTTCATGTAAAGAGAGATTATACGTACTTGTGATATTGCCCTTGACAAAGTAATTTTATGAGACATATCATCCGTACTATAACTAAGAGAAAATTCTTTGTCAAACATTGTACTGGAAGATGGATTTTTATCCCTATTACATGAAATAATCTTAATAATTCATCTAAAACCTGAAGTTACTATTACATTACATTTCCATGGAATCCTACTTTAGTTTATTTATAATGCTTAGGCCTTTCACAGCGGTTCAAAAATTTTGAGTTTTGATTATTATAGAATATATAGCTTTTAGAACTACAAAACTTTCACATAACAAAAACAGTGTTATAGGCATCAAATGCATACAATAATATTTTCATATATTGTTATCAAACTCGCATAAACTACTATGAAAGACCTTAACGGCTCTTGGATTAACAATGTGAAAAGGCAGAGATTTGACTCTTGAGAATGGACTAAAGCTTTACTTCGCTCAAGAAGGTTTAGGTAATGATTTCAAAGGAATGGACCACCAGTTTAACCCATTAATATTCCAACCAGACAGGCCTTCAAACTATGACCCAAGCCCAAGGGCAGAGTACTGGTAATGTTCAAATCCATTTTGAGAACGTGAATAATGGAAGAGGATTCATATTGTAGATCTCAAAGCCAAATTTTGGTTTTATACTCATTTTGACCGCAAAATATTCAGCTTCTTCTGTAAGGTAAATTATAATTTAGCACGTGTACATATATATTTTCTATATATTTGTAAAAGGTCATTTTAGTAAATGTGCCAGTTTATGGTTTATAGGTAAGAAAGAACACCTTAATGGTAAAAAAAGGAACCAGTATTCTTTTTAAGCTCACATTGTTCTGTGCAGATCTTTGTTTCTGCTAGCTGAAAAACTCACAATGGTTAGATGAGATATGGATAACACATTTTGAGGGCATGAAAAAAGGGATAAAATTTGGATAAACAAAATGAAACCGGCAAGAAAAAGGAGAAGACATTTGGATAAAGAGAACAAAAGGAAGATTGAAAGTGCAAAAATGAAACTCAAAAGAAGTGCCTGGTTGGAGTGGAGAATGACTTGTATGGTATAAGCACACTGCTACAGTGGCGTTTCGTACCAACAGTAAAAAGTCTATTCTCATCACATGTCCTTGTATCGTTAACATGAAACGTCATTGTGATAGTGTACTCGTGTCATACAAGTTGCTCTCACAAATGAGTTGAATGATGTTACAATAAATATCATCCATCCATCCACTAAAGCTCATGTGAGATCTCAATGTACTCCAAAATCCAAATGTATTCGAATCCAGAGTGGAGACCCACAGAGGAAATCTCACTCAATATTCTGTATCATCACTCTTGCTGTCGGGTTGTTCCTCAACTTGGCTCACATTTGACACTTGTAAGAATAACATCACAGCAACTTATCCAAGAACAAGAATTCATCCAATTGAATCACAATCAATATAAATTTCTTATTAAACACACTTAAGAACAAAGAAAGCTTTTGACACATACCTGCATGAAGAAGCCATTGCAGGCCTTTGTGCTCAAAACCTTCTCCTCTTTAATGATAAGAAAATATCTTCTAATCAATATGACTTAGAACACAACAAGCTGACAAAATCGCAAGAGCAGGGGTTTGAGATAGATAGATAGATATATATATATATATAGCACTCCTCTGTCCATTCCCTATCAGAACAGGACTAGGACTCAAAACTATACAAACCATCGGAATTCTGAGACCTTACAAAGTTCCAATACCGAGTGCTTTTCCAAAACCAACTGGAACTTCTCTCAATTTTGCTATCCCAAATCATTGAGGATAGTTTAACAGTTTCAAAGAAGACTTTTCCATATCAATCTTAAACAATATGACCGGTTCCAACTTATATTTCATACTCATAATCTTACAACACTACCTGCCTAATTTTCCACCCACAATGCACGATAATACACACTTTTGGTCTGAAAATTTTAATTTCTGCATTTACTCTTACTGCAACTATCGTTGTACGAATTTGATTTTTTGGAAAAGGGAAGCCAGCAGCTAGCTAGATATTTAGATTTGGGGACAACCTCAAATAATAGAGTGGTTTCATAATTTTATGCATGGTCACTCTCTAAACTTAGTCCTTTTTCCTTCATTTCTATACCTAAAATAATAATACCCAGCTATTGGTCAAAATTGTAGTTTTCTTCGTGACGTTGAAAGCTATCTCAATTTTGAATATTTATTTCCTGTTCATTGGAAAGAAAGTAAAATTACTTATAGATGTGTTTTTAACTCAAAGTGATGGCGACCATAAAAATTTGGGGTGGTTATAAAAAAGTACGTCTGATTATTTTTCATGCAATTATTTTTTTTTTATTTTTATAAGCATGTTAAAGTTTTACTTAAAAGTATTTGGATGCGTTTTGTTAGTTCGTCGCCTACCCAACTAAATACTGGAGGATCAGACTCAAAAAGGTGACAAAAGTACAAGCTTCTAGCTTATTTGGGTTTTTATTTGCTTGGTGAACTGATCTCACGGTTTAGGGTTGTTTCTTGTCTAAGGATGTAAAGGTAAAGAGCACTGTAACAATGAAAGGAAAAACCTTTTAAGGGCTTATAAGATGTTAGGCTACTTCCCAGATTGTAATTGATTTTATGGTGGAACCCCAATTTTTTCGTGGCATTAGCTCAGGTTGGCCCATATATGAAGTTCAATAGCCACACATGCTTCAAGTCACCCCAATTGTGTTATATGCGTGTCATTTTTTTTACTTTTATGATGGTTTCAGAAACAAACATAGAACAAAGACGCGCCACACTCACAACTCCCAATGTTAAGAAATACCTCAAGTTTAAAAGTTATCTCATTCGTCTTCGTTCATAAAAAGGAAATTAAGAGTGCTTCGAGAAATATTAGGAATGACAGTAAAGAAGTAGTTCTACAGAAGAACGACTCTTTCATAAATGTTTTTGTTGAAAATAGTTTCATGAGATGCAACACAATCATCATTAAAATTCTTACTTCTTCATCGAAACGTATTCAACATATGCTTCATCTAGAAAGCACTAGAAAGTATTTCATAACTTTCATTTTTTGTTTCTTCTAACACTATATGCCTTAATACACTTTTAATTAGTTTTAAACACCAAACTACAATAAAAGAGTTAAGCCCCAAACTTTAACATTGAAAAATAAATGGCAAACCCTCAACCATGATGTTTCTCAACACAACCCACCCCCCCCCCCCCCGCGCCGCCACCCAACCCCAAAATAAATAAATAAAATGAGAGAGATATTTTTGGATGTAAGGGATTTTTTTTTATTTTTTTTTTTTTTTGAGGGATTGTAAGGGATTGTTGTGATTACATGAATCCTTCGCATCCCTCAACTGTTATGAATGGGACAAATATTAGTGATTTCGAATCTCTTTGATAGCTTGAATATCTGTTCAGAATTTACAGCCACAAAAATTATGTAACATACAATAATACAGACGCGGAGAAACGAAACTCTCCTACCAAAACTGTTGAGAAAAGTCAAAAAACACAAAATCTAATCCCGTGCCTTCCACACAATCTCAAATGGGCCTTGTGGGGAAAAAAAACAAAAGCCCACAAATCAGTGGGCCTGGTGGTGCTCTTATCGAAAAACGCATGGCCACGTCAAGTGGGACCGCAATCACAATCGGATGGCGGAGACACAGTGAAGAGTGAGCTAGACTGGGAGACGGAGGTGCGGACCAGAACAAAGATTGGGGCCCAAAGGCAAAAGGCCCAATTGTATCACTTGCACTGCTCGAGGTAGGATGGAAGGAAAACCGTTAGCCTGACATGACGTGTAAGGCTGTGATTGAGTGATTATGTGGGGAGGTGGGGGGCTATGTAAATCTACAAGATGTTGGTGTTTTGTGCGGGAAATTTGAAGCGTGGTTGGCCCCAGTGTCTTGTGACTTCCTTTGTTGAGAGAACAGAGGGCCCACCCCCAACAAAGGCTGAGGGACATAAAGGCACATAGGCTCGTGCCCCGAAGTATGTCGCAAATGTTATTCTAATTATAATTTTATATCATTTTTTTTTTACCATCTTATGTGGTAAATAAGTTGGACAAGTTACATTATTTAATTTCAATTTTCTTATTAATTAAAACACTTAAATAAGGATAGCATTATTGGTGGTATATAACTAAAACACAATTAAATGCTAATTAATTTAGATGATGGGACTGTCTACATTAGACGTCACCTAAGATGGTATATAATTGTGGTACAAAACATGGTAAGAATAGCATTATTGGGTTTTTATGGTCTAATTATACCCTCATTTGTACAATCTTTTAAATAGAGATGGAATCTACATGTGTTGGTGCAAATATAATTAGGTGATAAATGTAACATTACTTAACGAAAATATTTGGCTCCCCATGTAAAGATTACTTGTTGTAAGCAAACCGCAGTTTGATGAGTGAGAATGAGAAATCTAGCTACAAGATAACTTTACACGTTATAGTTCATAATTTCTTGTACACTGTAAATAATTTGATGAGAAAAACTTATTTACAACAAATATGCCATTGTTTTGGTATATCAAGTATGTCTTGTACAAACAAGACCGCGTGATTCACTTGTATACTACTAAGGTTGCGTATCGTTGTATATGTGTTAAGATTGTGATTTACAGTTAAAAAGAATTTGACTAAAATCTCATTTGGAACTGTTTCTTTAAAAAATATTGATGCTCAGAAGCACTTTTAATAAAAGCGGCTATATTAGAAGAACATTGAAACTTTTAATAAAAATATAAGTGCTCTCTAGTACTTATACTTGAGGTGGATAATGATGTAGATGGGTAAGCAATAAGCATTGTATTTTGTGGCATGATTGTAAGTTTTGGTTTGGTTGGTTAGTTCATGCATTTACATGGTTTCATTTGAGGTTAATGTGTACCTAAGTGAAGTACACATTTGCAACGTTGAAATCGAAGAGTGAAGTTCCCTAGCTAGTTCTCATTTAACTCGGGAAATCTTCTAATTGCTGCAAGTGCATGCTTAAACCTTACCTTACTAGGTGGTTTAGATTAGACAGGATTGAGCCGGAGTCTGATTTATATATATTAAGTTTTATCTCTGTAAAGAAAACTTGGTGTGCACAAGCTTTCTTACGGTGATGCG